ATTTGTATTTATAATTACATACATTATGTATGTTTCTAATTCTCTATATTATATATTTTATATCTGGTTCTATTTCTTATTCCTTCCTAAGTATTTCATGCTGTGGCTATGATAAATGGCACATTTTCCTTATTTCCTTTTAAGAGTTCTCTTTGCTAGTGTAAAGGAATCGAATGGGTCAATCTGCTAGTAATTTTCTTACCGAGTCTTTGGGATTTTCTATATATAGAATCATATTATCAGCAATTAGAAATAGTTTTACTTTCTCTTTAGTGGGAGAAAAAAAGAATTGTTGAGTTTGTTCCACGAGTCCACAGTGGCCAGGTCCTCAAGCATGGTGGTTGAATCAGCTTTCTCACACAAGGGCTATTTATTGATCTTCTCCCTGGGTGAGCTGCATTCAAAGAAAGCGATCCAAGAAGGAGGCATTCCCGGCCCAGACACTGTGCTTTCACTCAGATAACACCCACAAGCCACTCACTCCCTGACTAGGAAACATTAAGCATTTTCCTGACTGTGCACTAAGCAAATATTTTGAGAATATGTTGCTGTAAAAAAAATTTAGCATAACGTACTTAACAAAAAAAAATCTCCCTACAGAAGGGAGTAATTGGCAAACTAACATAAAAGGCATGTAGTATTTGCATATGATGTAATAATTCTATAGTCAACAAAGCATAATAGAAAAGTTTGACCGTATCCCTGACCAGTGATCACTTCAGTGTATGATAAGTCTAAGTAATGGCTCAGCAGACCAAATCTGGCCCTTTACCTGTTTTTGTAAAGTTTTATTGGCAAAGTCACCGTTGCTCATTTCTACATAACTGACTGCTTTCATGCTGCAGCAGGAAAAACAAGAAACAAGTTGTTGGAACAGATACAGAATGGTCTGCAAGGTGAAAATGTTGACTCGCTGGCCCTTTACTAAGTAAGCTAAAATATTATTTGGATTACAGAAGACTTGAGGGGATAGTTTTGTCTTAGATCTGAAGATCTCACATCAGTAGTGTTGGGGTTCATCCAACCTCTCTGGCTCCAATCAGTTTCTGTGAGAATTTGAAATTCTCCAGAAAAAGAGAAGAGCACGTCTGTTTTGCATTTTCCATTTTATCAAGATTCTTCTACAAAGTCTTTCATCAGAGTATTCAGTATTAGTAACCATGCACCAACTGAGAACTTCACTCCAGAGTACGAGTCCACAAAATATAAGGACCACACATTGGCTAAAAGACACTGGTCAGTGTCTAACTCTTGGCAGCCATGAAGATGCCGCTCAGAACCTTCAAATACATGGTTCTGTGTGGATGCAGGTGTTCATGTCCCCTGAACATCTGCCCAGGAGTGGACTTGCTGGGACATGTGGCGATTCTGCCTTTAACTCTTCCCACAGTGGTTGTCCCTTTTACCGCTCTCATTACTCCTGAACTGAACTGAGACTAATAGCATGGACCTTTTGGGTCAGGGTGCTGCCCTGCATACCTGCAGTACCCCTGTGGCTCACTGTCCCACTCTTTCCCAGCTTCCATGATGACGCCCCCAAAGACCACAGGCAGGTCTCACTGACAGCCGTGAAGCAACGATTCGAGGACAAGCGCTACGAGAGCATCAGCCATGATGAGGTGCCTGGGGGGAGGCTGGGTAGGGTTGTGCCTCATGTCCCCCCTTTGCACCCACTGACCCCACTCTCTTCTCAGGTGATTAGCTACAGCCAGCTGTGCACTTTGCTGGGTGTGAAGCAGGAGGACCCAGAACCTACGCCTTTTCTCAGCACAGGCGAGATCCACACCTTCCTCAGCTCTCCCTCAGGAAGGAGGACCAAACGGTCAGTGCACCCCGAGTCCAAAATAGGGGCCTTTAGGTACTGGCACCACAGTTTTCAGAGGTGTCACAGGAACAGTCCACTCATATCCCATAGACGGGAACCTGCACAACAGGACCTCGGCCTGTGTCCTCAGCCTCCAGTCACTTCTCCTTTACTGCTGCCCTGAGGGGGCGGGGGGGTGTATGGCCCTACTAGATGGCACCTTGCCATCGTCCAGCATACCCTCTTTTGTTTGTTGTTAATTGTTGTTGTTATTGTTTGCCATCAAATTGGATCCTACTGGCACAGGAGGATATTGCCCATCCCTATCCAGCGGGGTATCTGGTGGATCCAAACCATGCACCTTTGGGATTACAGTACAGCTTCTTACCACTAGGCCACCAGGCTTCCTTTCAGCATGCCCTATTGGGCTACTGCTTCGCTTAGCCCTTGTGCCCTTAACCCCACTTCCCCTGCTCCTGGAATACCATCTGTCTTTTCACCCACAAACACTCTGTCCTTCATAGCACTGCCTCCCAAGGGTACTCTTGTACTGAATACAGTATTCCATACTCCCCAGGGTAATGGGCCTCTGTCTGGCCTGGGCAGCAGATCTGCACCCCGGGGATCCCTGGAAGCAGACCAAGCCCCTGCCTCATTGGTTCCAACAACCGCGGCAGGCTCAGCCCTGAAGGCTGACTGATGAGGAAATGGGGGGCTGGGCAGGGCTCACCATTCTTCTCTGGGTGCACCTGTGCTCTTGTGGCCTAGGGCCTCACTGTGCAGCCCCAAGAGCCTGAACATAGGACATGATGGACAGAAGGCAGCCGGCTCCATTCACCTGGTGCCAGGGACAGCTCATCTAGCTATGATGCCTTCCCTGCTGGGTCCTGGCCCCAAGACAGCCAGTTGTGAGCAGCCCTACCAAGGGCCAGGCACAGTCCCCACAGTTTTATGTGATGGGCCGCCTTCTAGGACAGCAGCATTTTTCCCTCATTTACCAGAGGAGGAAGGAGGCCGAGGGGAGACACCAGCCCAGTTTTGCCTGAATAATGCTTCCTAGAACTCTGGTGGTGCAGAGGTTAAGCGTTCATCTGCTGACCATCTGGTCCTTAAGGGAAAGGTGTAGCAGTCTGTTCCTGCTGAGACAGCTGAGGGAACCCTGTGGGACAGATCTGATCTGTCCTTCAGGGTTGCTGTGAGCCTGAGTGGGCACAACCCCGGGTTGGGCCTCACCTTCAAGGGTCCTGCCCCTGCCAGCCTCTTTGGCTGTGGGCAGCCAGGAGTGTGTGGGCAGGTGGACTTACAGGCAGCCCCTGCCCTGCTCACCTGGCTACCCCTGTCCGGCCCCACAGGAAACGAGAGAACAGTGTGCAGGAGGATCGTGGCAGCTTTGTGACCACCCCCACGGCTGAGCTCTCCAGCCAGGAGGAGACACTGCTGAGCAGCTTCCTAGACTGGAGCCTGGACTACTGCTCTGGCTACGAGGGTGACCAGGAGAGCGAGGGCGAGAAGGAGGGCGATGGTAGGTATCGGGGTGGGCTGCAGGCGATGAGGAGGCAGTTCTACGTGCTTGCTCTGTTACTGACTAGAGGTCTGTCCAGAGGTACCATGGAAGAAAGGCCTGCCTATCTTCCCCAAAACTGGCCACTGGGGCCTTTGGAGCAGAGTTCTGTTCTGATACCCATAGGGTCAGAGGGTAACCCGTGGATTCAGGGACTGGCCTAGTCCCTGAGTGAGTGTGCCCCCTGCAGCCTCACAGAAGGAGAGGGCAGCAGCCCAGCCTAGGTCCAGAGGCCAATGGGAAACCTGAACAAAGTGGGAGATAGTGGGCACCCGGCTGGAGTTGTGAAGACAATGGGCGAGAACATGTGGGGAACAGAGCGTGATCCGTGTAACATGTCCAGCGAGGCCCTGGCCCTGGCCCATGGGGCTGACTCCCTTGGGGTTGGCAACAAGGCTGATCTCTAGCATCCTCTAGGACAGCACCCCCACAGGATACCCCTCAGTTTGGGCTACTCTTCTTGCCTCTTGCTTTTGTGTCACTGGTGGCATGGTAGTTAAAGCATTTTCTGCTCACTCACCTGTCCACTATTGACTCAGAGAGAAAAGTCTTGCCAGTCTCATGAGATCACAGCCTGGAAGCCCCTGTGTGCCGGTCCCCCCTGTGCCCCAGGTCGCTATGTGCCAGGGCTGAAGGAAGGCAATAAGTTTGTGCGGTGCTTTAAGGCTCTGCGGCACTCAACAATGGGCTCCAGAGATTCACACGCCTTCATGCTGCCCATGTCCTCAAGAGTTACAAGGGCAGCCACCTAAAGGTAGCCTTTCCATTCCCTACCCAGAGATCTGGTACAGGCGGAGGGATGGTGGCCCTGATGCGCAGGGTGCATTCTACGCCATGCCCATCTCAGGAGTACTGGTGCTTCTGCAGATTCACCACCACAGAGCTTGCCATCAAGTTCTGTGTCATAGTGAGCACCTGCCAAATTTCCAAGGCTGTAAACCCAAGAACTTCCTCCTTTGGATTTGAACCACTCACCTTTCAGTTAGCAGCCCAACATATTACACATTGTGCCACCAGCGTTCCTTTCCATAAAGATTGCAGCCCCAGAAACCCAGAGGGGCAGTCCTACCCTGCTGCAGGGTTGCTGTGAGTCAAAATGAACTTGACAGCAGAGAGGTTTGGGGTCTGGCCTGGGGCTGCCACCCTGTTTAACCTGGCCCCACAATGTCTCCCACAGTGACAGCCCCCAGCGGCATACTCAATGTTACCGTGGTGTACCTGAACCCAGAGGAGCATTGCTGCCAGGAATCCAGTGACGAGGAGGAGCCCTGCCCAGAGGAGGTGACATCTCAGCACCTGCTCACAGCCTTGCCTAGCTCCCAGACCCCACAGATGCCAGGCCCTGAGCCCCCTGCCTACAGCAAGCAGGGGCCAGCCAGGGACACTACCACCACTGGCTACTCCTCCATAAACAGCAGTACCAGTCCCACCAGCTCAGGTGGGACTGGTGGCCCACTGCGACCTACCTCAGCACCATGCCCAGGCAGTGACTGGAAGCCAAACCGCCATCAAACAACGGAGTCATGTTTACAGGGCTGCACCCCAGTGCCCCCAGAGAACAGTTGGCCCCACCGACAGGCCAAGCGGAAGCACACGGACGAGCACAACAGCGGGGCTGGGGCCCTGGCCTTCCTGGCGCTGTGAGCACGTGCGATGCCTGTGATGAGTGTTCTCCAGCTGCTGTTTTCACCAGGGGGCGTTGAGATGGAGGCTGGCTGCCAGCTTCCTCCTATAGTCAACAGACAGCTAACTTATTGGTGCCAAGTCCCTTTTCCAAGAGGGCTCCAGTTGTGTGTCCACATGTCCCCATGAGGGGACGCTCAGGCCCTTGCTCCTGGCTTATGCTGCTGCCCATGTTCACACACTGTCCCTTGGACTGCATCTCAGCAGCCCACAGCCTCACCTTCCTAGTCCCCACCAAGCCCTCCTGCAGGTGCCACACACCTGTGCACAGGTACCGCGCCACCCAGGTGCATTTGGCCTGCATAGTGAATGGCCTCTTGGCAACGCCCACCTCTGCAGCACCTCCCTTCCTCATGCAGCCGTGGTCTCAGCAGGATTGATGCCACAGGGACTGTGACAAGGGCCTGGTGAGATGCTCGCTCGGCCGCCCCTCAGCTGTGGCCTTCTCACTCATCTTGGGGATGTGATCCTTCTTCACAGAGCTGCTGGCCCCCAAATCCCCACTGGCAATGGCCACTGGAACTCTGCACTGAATTATCTCACCCCTCTTCACTGCCTTAATATCTACACGCCTTTCCCTCCAGGATAAGCAAGGTGTCCGGTCCTCCTAAGGCCCAGCTGCAGGGGGAGCCCATGCCCAAGCTACTGGACAATTATGCAGAGAGAATTGCCCCACATCTAGCTAGAAAGCCACTTAAAGTCACTTGTGACAACTGAGGGGACTGAGACAGAAGAGCATGGGGAGACTGCCACCATGTCACTGTGTCCCAAGGGGTTGATCACTTCACTGTCTGTCCCCTCCTTAATACCCTGGAAGAAAACAACTCATCTGCCTTTCAGCGTTACAGAAAGAGCAGGTAGCGTTATAGTAACAGTTTGCTGAGCCAGCCCCAAAGGTGCCAAGATTGTGCCGACCAGGGAGGTGCTCCCTGACTGCAGCATGCCTCCACTTTTCTCTTGAAAGAACCACTCAGCTGGGAGTGTCCTCAAATGCTTGAGCCTGGCAGGCAGGTGTGAAAATGCCAGCTGGGCACTTTCTACTTCCCTCGTTCTGTGACACTCTCCCAGTCTTCTGGCCTCTGTTAGCCCACCCCCAGAGGGGCCTGGGTGGGCTGGGGGACCTCAGGTCACCCACACAAGGTGGTGCTAGCCTCATGAAGCCTCGGTCTGTCTGACAGGGTGATCCAACCTACCTCACAGGGGTTTTGTGAGGATTAAAAGTGATGAGAATGCACCAGATGCTCTGCTGGGAAAAGAGGGACAATCTCCTCCTGTACCAGTCAGATCTGATCTGACGGTACACAGACACAAATAATAATAAAAAAATTATTTTTTAAAAAAAGTGATGAGAATGATTAAATGAGCCGCTCACCATTGTGGGTTCTATCCTCCAGAGAAATGAAACTTGTAAAGAGATCTGTGTTAATGAAATGTCTCAGGGACTTAACATATGTTGACACATCCCAGGTCTGTGGTCAGACGTTAGGAGTCTGGGAAGACTGAATCCGGCAGCAGACTGCTGGCCTCAGCTCATGAGTCCAAGCAGGGTTGACTGCTGGTCCAAGCCCAGAGACCACTACCAGAAAGCCCATCCAAGTGAATGCTGACTGCACCCCTGAAGAGATTCCTCATTCAGATTTTGTTGATCATATTACAGACCTGCCTCCTAAGTCTGGGTTTAGACCTGTATAGTAGTCACGTGACACTGAGGGCTACAGTTGAGTACACACCCAGTATTGACCCTCACAACAGCCTCCACCTCTGTTCTGGGTTCTGCCACCAAAATCCCAACCCCATCCTTCACCGCTGAGCACTCTGAGACAACAGCACAGGTGGACCTAGTTCACCCTGCAAAGACGCTGCATTCCCAGACCAGCTCTGTGACCACCTACTTTCAGTGGGAATTGGTGCCACATGTCCAGCAGCATGTGCTCACTTCATGTGCCTGACACCTGGTCATCCCTGCAAACTCAGCCAGCTATCATACGTGATAGACTATGGTTAAAGATAACTTTCATATGCATTGTTCTACACCGTTGAGTCACCTGCAACTTACAGCAACCCTAAGTACAACAATTCTGATCCCTGCTCTATCCTGTGCCAATCTTACTGTCTCTTACACCACAACCTCCACTACCCCAAGGACTGAGTCAGTCCATCTCATCAAGGGTCTTTCTCTCTTGTGCTGTTACTCCACCCTCCCAAGCATGTCCCCCTCCAAGGACTGGTCCCTCCTTGTAGTATGTCTAAACTGTCAGATGAAGCTTCAGAATCCTTGCCTCCAAGGAGCAGCCTGGTCTCATCCTCTCTAGGAAGAACCTGTTTGTTCTAGAAGTCCATGGTATATTTACTACTCTTCTCCAGCACCACAACTCTAAGGCATCAATTCTACCATCCCTTGTCATTGTCCAGCTCTCTAATTATAACAAGTAATGGCAAAGACCATTGCCTAAATCAGACATACCTTAGTCTCCAGACTGTTACTGTTGCTCTTCAGTACTTTGGAGAGGTCTCTGACAGAAGACTTTTCCAATGCAATTCATCTTTTCATTTCCTGGCTGCTGGTACCAAGACTGTTGATGGGGGAGCCAAGCAAACTGAAGCTGTTGACAGTCAATCTTCACTATCTTGATGCTGCCAATCAGCCCAGTGGTGAGAATCTTTGTTTTCTTGGTGTTGAGCTTCAATCCATATTGAAGGTGCAGTCCTTTTTTTTTTTAATTTTTTTTTTTTTTTATTTTTGTATGAGTGTACCGTCAAATCAGATCTGACTGGTACAGGAGGAGATTGTCCCTCCTTTTCCCGGCAGAGCATCTGGTGGATTCGAACCGTGTGCCTCTGGGATTGGAAGGTGCAGTCCTTGACCCTCTCTGCAATAAGCGCTTCAGGTCCTCAGTTTCAGTAAGCAGGGTTGTGTCATCTGCATAACGCAGATTGTTGATGGATCTTCCTGTAATCCTGATGTCACACTTCTCATAGAGCCCAGCCTCCTGGATTATCTGTTCTGCACACAGATTGAAATGGCATGGAGATAGGACACATCCCCGGCATACACCTTTCCCAATTTTGAACCATGTAGTATTTGCTTGTTCTGTTCTGACTACTGCCTCCTAGTCCAAGTATAGGTTTTTCATAAGTACAATCAAGTGTTCTGGGATTCCCATTCTTCTCAGAGTCAGCCACAGTGTTGTGATTCACACAGTCAAATGCCTTTGCATAATCAGTGAAATACAGATATTCCTCTGGTACTCCCAGCTTTCAGCCAAGAGTCATCTAACATTAGTTATAATATCCCTAGTAGTACGACCTCTTCTAAACCCAGCCTGCACTTAGATGGTTCTGTATTCCAGTCGTTTTTAAGTAACCTTCAGCAGAATCTTGCATGCATGTGATATCAGTGATACTGTTTGATAATTTCAGCACTGTCGGGTCACCTTTCTTGGGAATGGGAACAAATATAGATCCCTTCCAGTTAGTTGGCCAGGTAGGAAACCAAAAACTTCATGAGCTTTGCTTTATAAGGGTGATCTGAAACCAGACCTGAGGTATGGATGGAGTTACCTGTACAGTTAGGGACCTTTGAGTCAGATCTATCTGTTAGCTACCCTGTGCACAGCAGAGTTTGGCCTGGCTCCACACAACCCACTGTCCCCCTGTGCTCAAGGTCTTTGTCACTGTGGCAAGCCATCTCAATAAGTTTCTCCCACTTGTACAGTAACCCTCTACTTTTCTAAACAAGACCTCTGTCTCCAGGGACTGATGTCTGCTGACCCAAAGTTTGTAAGACGGTCTCCATGCTACTTCATACATTTCCATGTTTCCATGGGTCATTACTGCTGCTTCCTCATTTTGAGTCGTGCCACTTTGATAGGCCAAAAGCCAAAAGCTTTTCTCCAGCCACATCAAGGGGACTTTCCTTTGAGGAAACACTTGTGTTTTGAGTGCCTTCTGACCTGAGGGGTTCATCTCCCAGCTCTTTAACAGACAGTGCTCCACTGCTATTCAGAAGGTTTCCAAGGACATGTTCAGAAGTGAATGGCAAGACTGGTTTGACCTGTCTTGGATCTAGAAGGTCTGCTGAAACCTGATCCTGCCAGTATCTGGAATACTGCTGGCATCATGTCCAGTATTGCAGCCACACTAGAACCCCCATAATATGGCACTGCCAGGCAAGGGGTGGGACCCCCAAACATAGAATCAAGTGTTGCTGAAGGAAAAGCCTATCTAGGCAACTGATAACCACTGCGGGATCCTCCTTGTGTACCCTCCCTCCCTGTCCTGACATGGTACTTCACCATTGTTAATGGATGTCACTGAATAGATTCTAGCTTGTGACAACACAGGGTGCTCTTGGCTGTGTTCCCTACAGGAATAGATCAGAGTGGCTGGGGGTATGCACTGTCGAATTTCCCCGTCATCTGGAGCTTTGTGCCCAGGGACTCTCATTAGCATAGAATGAATCTATCTGATCACAGATCAGATCTACCTTAAATGGTGCCCCCAGCTGCTACCCTTGTTACTGCCCTTAATATGGCACCTGCTGCTCCACCATCCATCCCAGCCAGCCTCTGTCCCCACAATCCACCCCCCCCACATCAGATGCCCCCTGGGTCACTGAAGATGCCATGGTGGTACTGACACCGTCTGGTTACATCATGTCTGGTTGCCAATGCCTCCATCCCTCACCTGTCCACTCCGTCCCGCCTTGAGCCAATCAGGTCAGCCTTGTCACACCTGGTTTTGCAAAGCTCTTGTCCAGGTGGGTACCATCAGCTCGACAGCAACATGTTCAGATGCAAATGCTTCATCTGGAGACTTGACACATACACAGGCATGCATGTGCACATACACACACACCCCCCTCTACATCGTGTCAGCCAGTGACTTGTGCTGGATGTAGACATGAAGCCAATTGTTAAATGAAATGCTCTGCAATTTCCTGTTAGGCCCCAGCAAGTCAACTATGATAGCAACCCCATAAACAACAGACCTGAACCTTGCCCTATCCTGTACTATCCTCAGACTTCAAACATCCTCTAGCCTATTGTTACAACAACCACTACATCAATTCATCTTGTTGAGACTCTTCCTTTCTTTCTCTAACCCTCTACCTTTCCCAGAACCGTGTCTTTTTCCAAGAACTGGTCCCTCCTGACAACATGTATATTAGAAGACGTTTCCCCATCCTTGCCTCTCAGGAGCACTCTGGTTGCGCTTCCTCCAAGACAGACTTGTTTGTTCTTTTGGGGGTCCCTCGAATATTCAGTGCTCCAACATCACAAATCAAAGGCATCTACTCTTCTGTCATCTATTTATTGTCCATCTTCCAAAGGCATAGGAAGTGACTGTAAAGACTTATGCTTGAATAAGGCTTGTGTTAGTCATTAAACTGACAGCTTTGCTATTTAGCCCTTCAGAGAGGCTCTTGATAAATCTCTCCAGTGCGGCAGTCTTTTGAGGTCTTGACCATGGATGTTGTTTGTGGGTCCACATAAAATAATCTTCAATCTTTTCTCCATCTAGCATGATGTTGCCTATTGGTCCAGTGGCAAGGATTTGAGTTTTCTTGATGTTGAGATGTAATCCATATTGAAGGTTATAGTCTTTGACTTTCTGCAGCAAACATTTCAAGTCCTTCTCACTTTCCGCTTAAAGAGTTGTCTGCATAATGCAGGTTGTTGGTGAATCTTTTCCCAGCTCTGATACCATGTTCTTCTTTCATACAAGCCAGCTTCTCAAATTATTTGTTGGTATACGGATTGAATAGGTATGAAGAGAATACACAACCCTGATACACATCTAGTATTCCTTTGTTCTGTTCAAAAATAGCTTCTTGGACTATGGATGGTTTTCACATGGGCATAATTAAGTGTTCGGGGATTTCCATTCTTTTCAATGTTATCCATAATTTGTTATGATCCACACAGTCAAGTAAATATCTTTCTGGTTTTCTCTGCTTTCAACTAAAATCCGTTTGACATCAGCAATGATTGATATTCTTGGTGCCACAGTCTCTTTTAAATCCAGCTTGAATTTCTGACATTACCCTGTGGTTTTTTTTTTTTCAACTCCAAGAACACTTTATTAAGAACATTAACAGACTAATTTCCAACATTCACTTGTTTATTTTTTTAAACAGAAAGTTTTTTTCCACGCGCTGCCTTTGAGCCCCCGGCGCGCCTCCCCGTGGTGCCGGGGGTTACGCTGCTGCGCAAGAGCATGAGTTTGCGCATAACTGGGGCCCCAGCCCGCTGCAGGCA